ATGGTTGTTTTAAGTAATGTTATTTAATGTTAATAAATGGAACAATAGAAGTAGCTAACGATAATGGTAAAGAAAAAAGAGAGATCGCATATGTAAGTGCGCATGCGCACACGTGAAAACATATCGTCATTACTTTACATAAGAATATGAAAGCAACACTTATTTACTGTTCATATATATTTTAATTAATGTTTCTGAATTTGTTTTTATTGAATTAATGTACGTGTGTGCAAAATTAACAATACAATTTATTAATAATACGTGGAATATTAGAGGAGACGAGACGGCTGCCGGCATTGTTTATGTTAAAGCTTACGAAACCAGTGACTGATTGGTTCTACATATAAAACTGAAGAAAATAAGACCCTGAGTTTAGCTGTAGTAAAATTAATGTAAAAAAGGAATATGGTTGCTTGAAGTACCTGTAATGTTATTTAATGTTAATAAATGGAACAATATAAGTAGCTAACCATTAATGGTAAAAAAAAAGTGAGACTGCTCGTATGTAAGTGCGCACATGTGAAAATATATCGTCATTACTCTACATAAGAATATGAAAGCAACACTTATTTACTGCTCATATATATATTGAAGGGTTAAATGTTGTACTCTGTAAAGACAAGCAGAGAGAGAGAGAGAGTGCAGCCGAACTGCCGGATGTAAACAAACCTTAATTTCCCGCGGCTTTTTTTTTTTTTTTTAAGGGGATTAGCCCAGCCGGGCATAGGTCACTGACCCACATTGGGGTCTGAGGGGCAAAAATTTAATACTCCTGTAATAATAATAATATTTCAGATAAGTAAAAAAAAAATGCTGCCTATCTACCTATTGGACAAACCAAAATCGTTCCGGACCACGGGAGTTTCCGGACCACAGAATGCCGGACTAGAGAGGTACAACCTGTATGCAGTATAATAGTAGTACAGTATACATTTTGTCTACAGTACAGTATTTACAATATATTGTCTGTGTACAGTGGTGTTTGAGTAAATAAATACAGCTCCGTGTGAGAAACGTTGTTAAGACTCAGGAAAATTTTCCCGTGAAGATTGGAAAATTCCAGTCTTTGCTGTGAAACAGATCCATTCAAATCTTGTACGCCCATATCATCAAAGATTTTTTTTTATAATATATTTATTTAATCAAACTTTTAGATAAACTATTCAGAATTCTTTTGATAAGAAAATGGTACAGTGGTCCCTCGGTTAATGAACACAATTCGTTCCACAGAGTCGTTCGTTAACCGAAAATTTCATTAACCGAATCCATTGTTTCAATGGGATATTGGGTAATTGGTTCCAGCTCACAGAAAAGTACATACAAAGTAAAAAAAAAATTAGAAGTGGGGGTGGAGGAGAAGGGAGAAGAGAAGGAAGTGGGGATGGAGGAGAAATCACCTTTCAGGGGACCCATGCTTGATGCAGTCATTTCACCAATAAAATTTTAAGTTCACTAGGAGTAATTCAAGATTATTTTATTTAAATCAACACTGCACTGCGCTATATATTATCAATATGTTAACTAAATTTCAGAATGGTCAATAATTTCAATATAAAAATGCAAAAATATTCAAGACACCAACAAAACCGATGTTCACTCCACTGTCAACAAAGCCAAACTGACGCATGGTGGCTGAGTCAAGCGGCTGATGGGCGCACAAAAAACTAGTTCTCTGCACTGCATATATTATCAATATGTCAACTAAATTTTAAAATGACTAATAATTTTAATATAAAAAATGCAAAAATATTAACGAGCACAATTTTCTTGATATTTACTCCACTGGAAATGAATGTAAACACAAAACAGATTACTGAATTGGCAGACTAGCCCATCAACTGATCAGCTGATGCTCAAAACAAAACGTGTTGTTAGAAAAGGATTTCGTTAATTGAAGTTTTGTTCGTTAACTGAATTGAAGATCCTTATGGGAGGTAATTCGTTAACCGAAATTTCGTTAATCGAACCGTTTGTTAACCGAGGGACCACTGTATTTCTAAGCTAACCGTAAATATTTTCGCTCATGCTTGCAGTCTAAATGTAATGGGAGAGTGCTTGTCCATGTGAAATGAGATGATGACATGCGTAGTATAAAGTCAAGAAGAAATGTGTAGTTAAGACTCTCTTAGACTCTCAGAAAACTTTCCTCAGTACCCACAAACATTCTAGGGATGTGGGTTAGTCTCTGTCTGTGCAAGATGCATAGTTTAGACTCTCAGAAACTTTCCCCAATACAGAATACCCAGAAAAATTCTGGGGCTGTGGAATTTTTCCAGGTTTGAAAGAGTCGTCTCATTACTCAGAAATCTTTCTAGCTCTGCACCAATTGTTCCGGCAAATGGGGGAAATCACTGTACACATTTCCTCATTGTTCTTTTATCTTGTTAATACCCATTAATCAGTGTTCACTAATCAATCACGCCAGCAATTGACTCAACACTCTTTTATCCGAGTTAACAAGACCACATGAGGTGAACACATGGCAAAAATATCTCCTTACTCAATCTAGGTTCACTGAACAGTTTGGTTTTTACAGAACTAACTTATGTACCTATAGGGTAGTACATAACTTTTTAGATTTTCAATTATCCCACTACAGTATTTCCAATAAATAAGTACTACATACCTTATGTCACACCCAAATTATATTCAGTTCAAAAGACAGTGCCAATATAATACAACAAAACAAATTCACAAAAGTACCATACAATGGTGCGAATCAAACCTCAAAATATATCTCCAGCTTCTCATTACAAAATCAAAAGCTGTAATAGATTGCAACTACACAATGGCATATACAATAACTAATTAAATAGTGTGTACTAATTCTGCTAAGTATTTGCTGGTGCTTTACTCAAGTATAAAAATTTCAGAACAATGAATGAACGGTGGTGAATGGTATCTAAATACAGCTGAAAATCAAATAGGATTTCTATGGATAACTGGGATAAGGAAAATAAATATCACAAATATGTATAAAAGGTATAACGCCGAAAGCTATCAGTTTTATTGTGGGTGAGAAAAATTAAAATTTTTTTTTTACTAATTCAAAAATTATTTTAAAACAGAATCACAAGCCAGTTGCAATCTACGAGCTTTTTTGCAAATTACCAGCGACATAATTGCAATATGTGAAAGCACTGACGCAGACTACACCTTCCTCCATGTGTCCAATTTACTTACATTTTGCATAATTTCCCAGAAAGAGATGAACTAGAGAGACACCAATAAAAAAGTAAAGTAACTCTAAATAGCCATATTATCACATTTATCCATATACAGTAATATAAATGATTCTTGACAAAGTTAATACTGTACACCATATTTCATTATTAAATCTGTGGCAACATGTGCAAATAAAAACTACCCACCACCAAACTTAACACTTGCAACCTGGGAAGGATCACCCAAAAATTAGCCACCCTAACTTATTTCACTGATGATTAAACATACTAATGCTACCTGAGGGTGTTAGGTTAGTGTAGTGTAGTAATTCTCAAGGTGAAATAAGCTGGGGTGTTAATGTTCGTGTGGTCCCTTATGAAATAGAGTACTGTACAGTCTCCCCCAAAAAAGTATTGTCAAATTTTCCGTCACTACACTTTGAAACAGTAGACGAAAAGCTTTGATATGATCCCCAGCGCATCATCATAAGTTGGTATGCCTGCTCACCACATCAACAACAGCTACAGATGGGGGTAGGATTGGGAGAGAGAGTCATCCGTGTATGGCATACTAGATACTGTATTTCAATAAAACAAGATATCCATTAAACTATACTATATTATTGTATGTATTGTTTGAAAACATATACCCTGTACATACTCCTTCACGCTCAAAGGTCACGGATGTAAAACAACAATCGTTCAGAAACAGGTCGAGCAACATTGCTCTGAAAGCCTCAATACACATCGACCCCATGGCTAACGATACTTTTTTGGGGGGCCTGTAAATAAAAATATAGTTAAAGTGAACCAGAATTGTCTACAGTATTACAGAATAGATATCCCATGTAATCGGTTACTGGGATACAGAGAATTGTGAATTTTGTACTGTACCTGTATAGTGAATGGTTAAAGAGAATTATAATACTGTAATGTGTTACAGTGGACAGAGAATTATTCTGTATACTGTACCTGCAATGTTTATAAACATGTTGAATTAATGTAAACTTGTATGACGACTTTTGCTTAATAAATATTTTCTATCTAATACAAGACATGAGTAAACTATCATAATTAAATTGCATTCAGGAGACACAGTGAATTATAAATTTATTGTTAAACTGTATCAAATAAATTGTTTCAAGATATTTATACGATAGACTGGCTTCAAGTTAAATACAAATTCTGCAATATTCATTTATTAGAAAAATAATGTCTCCCATAAAATTTCCTCAAAATTTATAAAAATTTCCATAAAAGCAGAAATTAATGGAGTTACATTTGAAAATCACATTAACAGACAAACTTGGAAGAGCTGTGCAAAATTTAAGCTGAATGAAGATCCACACTGAACTGACACATAAACATCTTGATTATTATTAAACATTTGGAACTAAATCAATATAATTTTTTCAAGGTAGTTTTAATTAGTCTCATATGCACTTTAGTTGTGTTCAGCAGTGAAGGACTATACAGTACAGTACTACCAGAAATGTCTGTCGTCATTGTCCCATTACTGTACAGTGCTTAGTTATAACATCTGGAAGACATTTTCAAATAATAATTTCTCATTCTTCATCCTTCATATTTCTCACCTGTATTTTTCCTAATGAGAGTAATTGCTGTCAGTCATATTTCTCTTCACACATACAGTACAGTACTGTACTGTACTCTTGTCCAGGATCATTTTGCATGTGTTAAGCTCTTTAGGGGACATGAATAATCAATATTCTACTGCTAAATAACTAAAAGGATGTTATGAGCTAAAAATAGATATTAAAAAAATCTGTAAAATCTTGGCCACAAATAACAAGTGCCTATGGTAAAGATTTTTACCTCTCTCGATCAAGTCTACGGTGTCCTGCATTGCTATCCATGGTGGGGTCAATAAACTAGTGGAGGACATTCAGCACAAGGCAGCAGCAGCACTCGACAGCCAAGGTAAACAGGTTAGGAGTCTCGGGTGATCAGATCTTCCACCTTCATCCTTATTATCTGACAAAGATAATGAGAATGATAAACATGAGTGTGAGAGACTTAGTCATAACTTTTGATCCCCACTATTATCTAATTACTGTATTTTTTTTACTTATAAACTCACATTAAAACCACACTCTTAAGCATCAAATCATACTCAGAGTATTAAAATTAACATATACTGTATTTAATAAACTTAGCACTAATAATAATTAGTCATCAAGAGTACTGACAACAGCTATATGTACAGTTCACTTATTTTATGGAGGAGAAAATAATAAAATCACCAGATACAGTAACTTCTAATACCTTCTTCAATTTCACTGCACCTTATTACAAAAAATTACACATATATATTATAGTAACAGTTTAAAAAAAAAAGCTGGCAAAGAGGGACAGAATGTTTGGTTTGGTACAGTTCTACACACTATGTAAACCCACCAAGAGTAGTGGGCAACCATAGCAGTGTGTGCGTTCCTGCAAAAATTTTTGGGCCACAACTTTCTTTCCACCTGTTAACTTTGAGAAAATTATTAAGATTATAACTATACTGTACTGTATATCACATCAACATGCATGTATAAAGTAACCATTTAATAAATAAATAAATATACCAGTGTGGGTTACCCACAATTACCTAATAGCTGCTCTCCATACTGAATACAGTATGTATATATATATATATATATATATATATATATATATATATATATATATATATATATATATATATATATATATATATATATATATATATATATATATATATATATATATATATATATATTCAGTATTTAAAGACAATAATACAGTTAAAAACAACAAAGAACTTTGTTATAAATTTCAGCATTATGAATGTATACAGTACTAACTACTGTAATACATTCTGATAAGGAGAGGGTCAAGTATGAGGTGATGTTAGACCACGATCAAGGTCCATCATCTGTCCACTTACTCTCTACACTGTGATGCACAGTACAGTTACCCAGCTGTCAAATGGTGTAAAATTTCTCAAGACATCACACCACAGTACAAAGTACAATTATTCATGAGGCTTGATGTTACACTCTTCTTACCCACTCATCAATATCAATATTGTCCTCTACTTCCCTTTTCCATCACTCTCACTTTTTTCTTTATATACAGTGACTGAACATATATAGTGCACAAATATAAACTTTGTTTGCATCACTGGTTAGAGAAATTGTTAGAACTCATGTACCCTCAGAGTTGTCATTAGGTAATTATGTTTTACCCATGTAAGCACTTACAGTAAAATTACAATAATCAATGATAATGAGACTGGTGATGCACATGTAAGCAGACGATATGGGCAAGACTATACAGTAATAGTAGTTCTACTTGCTATGTTGGCCTTTAACAGTCAGTCAATGTGGTGAAGTTAGTACTGTACAGTATGTTACAAAAGGGATTGTTCCCTCTGCTTACCCTATGGTTCATATCATCATCCACTCTCAGACACCAGGAACACCTCTTCCATCAATCTACCTCCAATTAAGCTAATCATATACTGTATCTTCCTTTCACCCTTCTCTACTTGCATTTTATTAACATACCTTTCTTAACATTTAATATAAACTTTCTTCCAGTGTGTGGACACACATGCATGCCTGCATGCACGTGCGCACATACACACACACAAACTTACTTTCAAGCTCATTCCCTAGCTGCCTCTTCCTCCATTTACATTTCATAACTCACCAACGTTGTATCTCTCTCACTTTTCTTTTCACCTTTTAACACCCAATCCACGAGAAGATATTTGACATCCAAGATAAGGTCCTATTTTTAGAAAAGACCAAATTCCTTCTTCCTTACAGACTCTAACATGTGTCCTACTCTCCCTACACACTCTAACATGTGTCCTACTCTCCCTACAGACTCTAACATGTGTCCTACTCTCCCTACACACTCTAACATGTGTCCTACTCTCCCTACACACTCTAACATGTGTCCTACTCTCCAATTACTTTTTCAATTACTAATTAAAAACATATGTACACTCTCACCAAAAAATCTTGAACGCTATAAGCACTATGAAATCTGAAAAAATGAACGAAGACTCTGAAACCATTCCGAAATGGCAAGCCCCATTCTGCTCATTCTCACATCCATTGTGACCAGGTGTTTGAGAAGTTTTTTTGAGAGTGTACACCCACTGAAAAATTATTTGGCACCCGTGTCATATTGTATCGCGCCGTAAGGGTGCCGAATAATTTTTTAGTGGGTGTACATTATACTTAAACACACACACACACACACGTATACATACATGTACACCCACTAAAAATTATTCGGCACCCGTACGGCATGATACAATATGACATGGGTGCCGAATAATTTTTTAGTGGGTGTACATACCATTTTAAATACCTGTGCCACTACTGCATCTCAGGGAGGCTTACACCACTAGTTACCATTCAATTGACATCTAATCTAAAATTATCTCCACTATCTGTGAGCTGATTACCTGACATATACAGGGGTGTACAACCACATTGATAAAACAAACATAATCAGTAGTTGGCCAAGCTTTTATCACTCCTCTCTACCTTATTAAACTCTGATAAATAATGAAACAAGCTACAGTGATTTCTCATACACACATTACAGTAAAAGCTGGGAACATCTTGTTACTGAGGCAGGAGAAAGAAAGTCTTGAGTAAATAAACAAAGGGAACATCATATTTGTAAAAATTATCCATCATAAGGAAACATTTTTTTAATATTCAATTAAACCTAAATAATTATGTAAAAACACAAGAAAACTATCATTCTTTCACCCAATCTTTTATAAATAAAGTACAGTACAGTATTAACATGACATGTAAATTAATGGATCACGTGAAGATTAGGCACCCCATCATATTTCACCTAGTCATTAAATACCCTCAAAACCTAACTTTACCAAATCTAACCTAACCTCACATAACATAACCCTACTTAACCTCACATAACATAACCCTACTTAACCTTAGCTAACATTGCATAACCCTACTTAACATAACCTAAGCTAACCTAGCCTTACTTAACATAAACTAGCCTCATCTAATGTGCTTAATCTACAGAATCTTAAAAAAATAAATCTCGGTTATGTAACTAGAGGAATATTTATGCTAAAATTAGAGCCCTGTTAATGTCTGTTTAACCGAATTAGAAATTAAATTTGTCATCTGCAAACTCTGTGATGCCTCAGGCATCTCTCCATAAGATTCCCACATAATATGTATATTTGGCTGTGTCCTGGAGCAATACTTGCATTAGTTTCTGGTGAATTCTCATTACAAAAAACAAACAAACATAATACTGTACCATAATAGCCTGATTTGTTTTCTCAGAATAGTCACCATGGGTCCCAAGAACATGTCTGGTGAGGAAAAGGCTCACATCCTTGACCTGTTGGATGAAAAAAGTTCCTCTGAGGGAAATCCAGAATGAGGCACAGTGACAATTAAGACTAATGTGCAGCATGCAATCTTCCCATCTACAGGTACTCCTCGGCTTACGACCTACTCGACTTACGACCACCCGGACATATGACCGCCGCAGTCGTATAAAATATTTTTAAAATTACGTATTTTCGAGTCCCGACGTTAGTGATAGCGCTGTGTACTGACAAAATTTTTGTTTGTAATTCCCTTTAAAATGGCTGGCAAGCGTAAAAGTGAGAGTTCTCGTGGTGCTGAAAAGAAAAAGAGACACCCATTTTAGATTTTCTATGTATTATTTTCGCATTTTCAACTGACAACCTGGTCGTCGGTCCCTAACCCCATCGTAAGTCGAGGACTGACTATTTTGTTCCACCCCAAAAATTTTCTCCAGGGAGACAAAAAAAGACCTGCATGGCCAATGACATGGTAATGTGATGAGAAGTAAGGAAGAATTTAAAAATGTCTGCAGCAGAAATGAAGAAAGCCCACCACAACCTCCTTCAAGATGTGTCAGAACATATGATCAACATCAAATACAAGAGGAGCCGAACATGCCAACTCATCATCCTGTGAGGGAAGGGGGGGTAGAGATTAAAAAACGTATGCAATAACATTTGAGTGCTAGAATGGCCAGGGAACTCACTTGACCTAAACCTAATAGAGAATGCAAGGAATCAAATGAAACACAAGCTGTCAACATGGAACAGCTGGAACACATCAACAATACACTGTACCTGGCCTTCAGGAGGGGATCAAGCAGTTCTGGGGGCAGGTACTCAAAACACACCATAAATAACACATTCGGCTATCTTGTAACCGACAAATGGTATTCAAACTTACAAACTGCTAACAATATTGAATATACTCCATACACACAACTATTTTGCGATACTGTAAGGGTACTGTAACTCGAATGTAAACACTGTAAAGCAAGTTTTCATGCAGCCAGTCGGCCAATCACAGTTACGGTTTCAAAACATACCAACCAATCACAAACTACAGAGATCAGCTAGCTCTTGGGGAGTAAGATTTAAAAACAAAACAGGTTTAAGAAGCTGACGATGCCGGCACTTTTTAGATGAAGAGGTTTTAGCACACTAGAAGAGGCGAAAAATATGTAGGATGTTTTCTTGGAAAATTGGACAACAAAACACCATCAAAGAAAAAATAATGATTGTGACTCGGTTCGGTGAAATTTGTAGCTTGAGAACCAAGAGATGTTGAATTTCAGAGAAAGTTCACTGACTTAAAGATGTCTGTCAAGAAAAAAGCAGCTCAAGGAGTTTATGTACAGCTCCTCCCCGACTTACGACCACCCGGATATACGACCACCTCAGTCATACAATATCAATTTTTTTTCAAATTACGTATTTTCGAGTCCCAACGTCAGTGATTGCGCTGTGTACTGACAATTTTCGTTTGTAATTCACTTTAAAATGGCTGGCAAGCTTAAAAGTGAGAGTTTTGTGGTGCTGAGAAGAAAAAGAGACACCCATTTTAGATTTTCTATGTATTATTTAAGCATTTTTTACTTATGACCTGGATTTGGGTCCCTAACCCAGTCGTAAGTAGGGGAGGAGCTGTATTTGCACTTCTTACCAATTTTCCACAAACTAAACAAAAATATTACTGTACATGTATATATCAAACAAGGTTTACAACTAAATATTACCAGGTACGTAATAAAAAAAATGTTCAGCCTAAAACTTCATTCTCCACCTTAAAAATTTCACATTGAGGAAATATATAGAATCTAAACAATCAATCATTACTTAACTATGTTAAGACGGGTAAAAAGGGTCTCGGTACCTCCTTTCACATCGCAAAGATCAACCATTTAAATATACATCAACCAACTACTGTATATCAATACTGTAATCTCTCATCCCTTTCTCTTTGCTGCAATGTTGCTTCACTCCCTCTCTTTTACAGGTACAGTAGTACTTTCTTTAATGGAGAATGTTTGATGGATTTGGCATCATGTGTACCGTCGGCAAGGCAGTGGGCTCGTAACACTCATCTCGCTCATGGTACCCACCGTTTCTGTGTGGATGTCAGGCACACTAGAATAACTCATTATAGTACAAACTGTGGAATGCTTTGCCTTCCTCTTACAATGTCTCGCCTCAAAAATCTGGTTTTCCGACATCTTCGTGGTGTAGATTAATATACAGTAAGTCCTCCCTTAACATCGGGGTTATGTTCCTGAAAATGCAACACGAAACAACGTTAAGCGGACCAATTTTCCCCATAACAAATAGATAAAATATGGGAGTTACATTCCTGAGCCTACCTTTGCCCCATGAAATACATTACATATTCTGTACAGAAAATCATTACCATTTCTATAGAAAATAGTGCATGCATATACAGTGGGGTATGCTATAACGAATCTAATTGGTTCTAGAACCTTGTTCGTTATAGCATTCGTTCGTTATAGGATTAATCCGTTCCAGGCCCCCAAATACAACCACTTAACACTGAAAAATATAATATAAAATTGTAAAAATTGTAAAAAAGTGCATAACGATGCATCTAAACCCCCTGAAATTAAGAATATCATTAATATTTGTAATAAAAAAACAATAAATTAGAAAAAAAAAAAAAAATTAAATAATGTTCGTTGTAGGAGTTTCGTTCGTTATAGCATTCTCAATTTTATAGGTAAAACCGTTCGTTATAGGAATATTCGTAGTAGAATCCGTTCATTATAGCATACCCCACTGTACTGTACAATTACTAAGTTTATACTGGTACTCACCGATGAGCGGAGGTGGTAGAGCGAGTGTGTGGTGGGTACTGAAGCGGTGGAGGCGGATGGTGGGAGGGGAAAGTATGTCGGAAGCGGAGGGTAGCGGGTCACTGAGACCTGGCGGGTGGCTCCTTCTCCCTCTCAAAACGGTTTAAAACCTCAATTTTCGTAGCAAGGCTAATGGTCTTAAGTTGCTTCTTCGCAACACTCGCATCAGTAGCACTTGATGGGCGCTTGGAAGCCATTTCAAATAGTTACAGTACAGAATTAAGAGCATAAACACTTAAACATGCACGAACGCTGTGGAAGCCTAACAAAGACTGGCTTCGCTTGGGAACGCTGTGACGTTCCATGCCGAGAGAGAGTAGCACGGCAAGACCAGAGAGGGTGACACGCCGTAAAAAGTAGTCCATGACAAAGCAAAAACAACGTTATATTGAGTCGTCGTGACGTTAAACAAATTATTGGTATCTAAAGAGTAGCGAACTTGTACCGAAACAATGTTAAGCGGGACGATGTTATACGAGGACTTACTGTACTCCTTTTCTCCTGTAATTTTTATTATTTTTTTTTTATTCTTATTTTTCATCTCCCAGGCCCTGTTGTGAGTCAATGACCTGTGTCTGGGTAGGCACAGGCTATCACCAGGAGTTTTTATATTACATTCATTTTTTCAACAAATGTTGTTTAGATAATAGTAATTAATAAAAACAATACAATAACTTTTCCTTTAATTATAAGTACATAATTTTTTCATTTTCTTCTACCCTTTGATCATAAATCACCTGTAGTGGGCAGAGCATGAAAGAAGAGGGAAATTATGGGGTTAAACATGATGAAAAACTGATCACATGGCAGTAATTTCATGTCTATATGTGCTTTGTATATGAAGAAATAAGTTTTTACCATAAATATTCCACCAAGAATTCTCCCTTGACGACTCTTGTTTTTTTTTGTTTTTTTTTACGGGTATTAGCCCACCCGGACACAGGTCACCGACCCACATCAGGGCCCGGGGGGCGAAAACGTAATAACAGTAATAATAACAACAACAACAACAACAACAATAATAATAATAATAATAATAATAATAATAATAATAATAATAATAATAATAATAATAATAATAATAATAATAATAATAATAATAATAATAATAATTCAGATAAGTAAAATTTATAATAATAAATACAAAAATAAAAATAAAATAATAATGATAACAATAATAATAATGAAAACACTGCAATAATAATAATTATAATAATAATAATAATAATAATAATAATAATAATAATAATAATAATAATAATAATAATAATAATAATAATAAGGAACCATAAAGAAATTAAAAAAAAAGATCATTAGTGAGAAACGATATATGTATGTTGTGTTGTCAATAGCAAGAGAAACAATTGAGACCCCACAATTGTGTAAATGAGGCAGAAAGTCAGATCAGCAACCTGGGACTTAGTCACAATTTTTGCAATGCCATATGGCAGCAGGGTCTACCATTAGACAACACATTATGCTTCCAATATCTTCCCAGGCGGTAGTACCTCTCTGTTTGGTAGCTGCCTACTACGTACTGCTCTTCCTATAAATTTGTGATTCCGGTCTTTGTAAACATATAAAGTCCCCAGGTTATGTACGACCGACTTATGAACATCCACCAATACAAGCGAAGCCCCATAAAGTTAAAATTTAAATTTACACTATTTACTGTATTTTGTCAAACTATTTCTTTTTTTTTAATTAAGTGATTTTAGATGTATAAAGGACTTAGGTTTGATAAACTGGGATTTTAAACACTGTTTTGTAAGTACAGTATGCACATAGGGTAAGTGGTTTGACATAAGTACATTTTCAACTTAAGAACATCCTTACGAACTGAACTCATACGTAACCTGGGGACTGCCTATTCAACTATCAATGGAGTCTCTCATCTGGATTTTTATTACCATAAATATTGACAAGGTTATCTTTTGTTTTAAATAAATAAGCCACTTTCCTTATTTTCTTGTGTATGGCCTGCACAAATCCCCTTTTTTAATTTTCATATACAATAGCTATTTGATTTTTTAACCTCTTCTACATAAAAAGGTTGAGATTCATATAGCTAATTGGATCCAAATCCCATATTATGGGTTTGGAAACATTTACATTTGCTTTGGAGTATCATTGGATTCTAAGTGAACTGTATGTTCCTATACTTAATGTTCTTCCTTAAGGAGAAGCTAGGCATTTTGCTTTTCAATGGCATTGTTATTATGCCATGTTCAGTATTGTATCACAAGTTATTTGTACATGTGGAGGATGAAGACCGTTTGCAAGAGTTCATCTGTCAACATGGACTAGTTGGGAGGATGTGCAAGTGTTCAAAATGTGACAGAGAAGTGAGTGAGCAAAAAATGTGTTTCAGTGCAACAACCAATCGTACTCTTACGTTCACAACACAAAATTACACAATGCCACTTCAAGAAAAGTGCTTTCATTAGCACCTGATATCAAAGCAAGTTCTTTCTGCTTAATATGCCAGGGGGTCCAGGGGCAGAGCCCCCCGACTAGGAAGTTAGGTAAAATTAAGTGGATGTAGTTGGGTTAGGTCAGCTTCTATTAGGTTCTGTGAGTTGTCATATCGCTTTTATTACTTATCATAATCCAAACAACATCTGTGGAGAAAATGAACGAAATCAAACAACTGTTTCTGGTGTTAGCCATCTCCTTCAACAGTACTTTAAAGAAAATTAACCCTAATGTCATGATTTTTGCATTTATGGGGTATCCTCGATATCCAAAATGACAAATTTATTAGCTTAGCAAAATCCCTAAATAAGGTACGAACGAGGCTTTTCTAAATATAGTTTTCTTTATACAGTATACTGTAGATTAAAACAGGCATGGATATTTATTCAGTAAAATTTTCATGCAGGTTCACAGAAACAACATACTTTGATATCAAGTCCCAATAAAAATACTTTTCTTGAAGTGGCATTGTGAAATTTTACCTCTTTTGTGAAAATAAGTCAAATCAGCCAAAAATTAAATTATTGATTCATAACAACAAAACCAGAGGTTCCTGTGGTAAAGCTTGTTCTTATGATTTACCGTGTTTATAAGTAACAGATAAATGAAAACTTTCAAACATATTTTTCCTACAGTTGAAGTCAAGAAATAAAGTCTGGATAATATATATACATACTGTATTGTTACTAGACCAAGAGATACCTTGAAGCTTTAAAATGATCATCACTTTCAAGCCAAATCCTCAATAATCATATTGTTAACTCCGAGTCATACACACACCCATACTACATTACACTGGAAGGACAGACGCCTACCTTAGGTTAATTTGTCAATCTTAGGGGTAACTACTTACTGTAACGTCTTCTCCCTTCACACACGTCATTATCGCTGGAATGGAAGAAAGACCACCTCCCTACCTGTCTTCAGACATAGTGGCGAGACATAGTGGTAAACACAAGCCGGGTAAACTAGCCATATGTGTGACAGTGTTGCGGGTCTAGGGCTGTGGCAACCATCAGTGTAAACACTGCAATGTTTTCAGCTGACGGTGCTGCAGTCCCCATCTGAGATATATTTCCTCCTGTTATATATCTCTCCCCCCTGCTCATTTATGACTTAACTTACCCCTTTTAAATATCTCGATTTAAAAACTTTCTCGATCTCTCTTTTTATTATTTAGGGCAATTTACACAAAAAATAATTATAATTAATTATCGAAATATTATGGACGACGCTATGGTATTTGGCGGGAGGTTCAAATATTTGGCATACCATTGTACTAAAAGTACCTAGATGGGCAGCGCTCCCTGTGCCTAGTCATGTACTCAAACAATGCTGTGGTTACCTAGGAAAGTAGCCAAGTCGGGTTCGAGAACACCCTCCTGTCATGGCACGCTTTGAACACAATGATGTCTAGAACTACTTGCGGTGGGGGAGTTCGGGTCCTTGTTTATGCAACAGCATGAACAAGATTTTATTATTTTACATGCCAAGACCTTTGCAAAGATTTTCCGTTACCCCTAAATTAGTATGCATGTCTATGAAAATATTCAAATGTGCATATATCTCCTCAAGTTGTAGTGCTAGACACATGATCTTGGTGTCTAATATAAGATTTTTTACCATGGGGATTCGATTGGCTGCTTCACTTTGGTAATTGGAAGTCATCTAATTAACACAATTTCTTGATTGGTGACCTTTTTCTTGGTGATTACATATAGCTTGATAGCATTGTTTTTTACTTTTATCCTCTTCGCCACTGATCGGCTTGTTAGCCGCTTGGGCGATCGGTCACGTCTCTTTTCCTTTATATTCTTCACCAAATGGTCGGCTCGCTAGCCGCCCGGGCGATCGGTCACGTCTCTGTCACGCACTGTTGGCAAATACTGGGCATGCACCGGCTCCTGAATGTACCTGAACCCGCTCCAGTGTTGGTCAAGTCTTCTCTTGAAAGAGCTCACACTCGGTGCCGTCACAACACTCTCTGGTAGATTGTTCCAAGAGTTTACAACCCTCACTCCGAAAAAGTTTGCCCTCACGGTTTTCTGGACTTGCGGCTTCTTCAATCTTGAGCTGTGACCCCTTGTGGGGCGAGCGTCCGCCAGCTCCAAGTAAGGACACTCAACTGAGTAGTGCCCCCTGAGATGCTTATAAACCTCAACTAGGTCCCCCCTTGCCCGTCTGTAGTATAAGCTAGGCAAGTTCAGGCGCTCCAATCTCTCAGGGTAGCTGAGGTGCCGAAGTGCAGGCACCAGTTTGGTGGCCCTCCTTTGAACATTTTCAACCAACTGACAGTCCCTAGCATATCTCGGGGACCAGATGGGGTGACAGTACTCCAGATGGGGAAGCACTTCACTCCTGAAGATCGTCACGAGGGACGGACCGTCTAGATATCTGAACGACCTTCTTATAAGACCCAATAATTTATTTGCCTGATTTACCTTCTTCTCACAATGGCCCGAGAACTTCAGCTCATTGTCAACATACACACCTAGGTCCTTCTCACACACAGTCTCAACTAGTACATTTTCTTCATCCCGTTGGGACATATGGTACGCCTCCTTACCGTTGGTACGCCCCAGGTGCATCCTCTTACACTTCGTGACATTGAATCTCAGCAGCCATTCCTTCGACCATTCCTGGAGCCCACAGAGGTCCTTCTGCAGCTCTTCACAGTCCGCTTGGTTCTTAATTTCCCGAAATAACTTGCCATCATCGGCAAACATTTGTATGGAGGAGTGTACAACGTCAGGCATATCATTTATGAAACAAACAAACAACAGCGGGCCCAATACACTACCCTGCGGTACCCCACTTGTTACAGGTACAGATGACGATTTCGTGCCATTAATCACCACACATTGCTTGCGGTCATGTAGAAAGTCTTCTATCCACGCTAGGACATTTCCCCGAATTCCGTACCCTTCCAGTTTGATTTTCAGCCTTTCGTGGGGTACACTGTCGAAAGCCTTGGCAAAATCTAGGTAAATATTGTCGATATTACCACCCCGTTCTAGAATATGGGTCCAAATATCCAATACCTTGAGCAATTGTGTCAAGCAAGAGCGCCCCGGCATAAAACCGTGTTGGCAATCTTTTACAAGGTTGTTTCGTAGTAGATGTTCCATCGCTGCATCTCTGATAATACTCTCAAGTACCTTACATATTATGCTGGTCAGGCTCACCGGTCTATAGTTGTTCGTGGAGTGACTATCGCCCTTCTTGAAGATAGGACTCACATAAGCCACTTTCCATTCACTGGGGACCATTTGTTCACCCAGGCATTTACAAAAAAAAAGCAGGTGCTACCAAAACTTACCAATTGTCTACCGCTCAAAATTGTTTTTATCCTCTTCGTCACAGATTGGCTCATTAGCCTCTATACCTTGTCAAAATTACAAAGAGTGGGGAATATTCTCAAAGATATGGTAATGTTCACCATAGCCTCTTCTATACTTAGTGTTAATACCAAATGCCAACTCAGAAGTAGAAAAATTACAGCCAGCCCCCTATACTGTATACACCATCGCAGGTCATCTCGTCGTTTGCCGGGAATACGTTCTCCAGATTGCCCCCGAATTATTGCCGACTCCGCGCTCTTCGCGGCACTGACTATCAGTGACCCCATGACCTTGGTCAGGCTTACAGATCCTTTCCAGAGATTTCATGTTTCTTTGTTTGTTTTATCGTTGCGATGTAGTGTTTCCACCACCTGCCATTTTGGCAGGTGTCCATGACTGTCAAAATGAAGCCCTAACGAATTAAATGAGCGTGACCGACCAGCCTTACGGCGACAGGTGGTAGCAGTACCATTGCTTACATATTACCGAGTCATTATTCTGGCCCTACAGTTGACAGGGTTCTGGTAAATTCCGTTATACTGTAGTGGATTCCTACCCTACAAACGCCGTGTGTCGCTGACTAGCCGACCTCCACGCGAATTCACCAGCCTGCACCTCGTGGGCAAGGTCAGGTAACCAGCGCCCCCGAACAAAGCAGAGGTCTACAATCAAGCTACACCTACCCTCGCTATATAAGACCTCACCTGGCAGTGACCTGCCCTTCTTCTAGCTACAGCCGCAGCAAGCAACACCTCCTCTGAGCACCCTCACCAACCAGCTCTCCCTACTCACGCTTGTAACCACGCTGCCTCCTCCCAGCACCAGCCACCAAGCTGCATTGTACATCCAATATAACATGTATACAGAGAGCACATTGTGAGTTTCCTTTCTCCATCCCATCCTGAGTGTGAACCAAATATCTCGAAACCCCACAAATGGTGACCCCCGGAGATTTGCACTCACACAGGATGGAGGAGAAACATCTCGTGTAAACCTACAATTGGTGACCCATGGAGCCGTGAACACCACACTCCTTTCTGCTGCCTTACTCCTGGAGCTGAGAAGGTCTTCCTGCCTGTTGCCATCCTAGGCCAACCGCCTTACCTGCACCACGTGCTACCCCAATACTCCACGACGACACCATCTCACGACTGTGTGACACACTTCCGCAAGAATGGATGGACGGATCTCTCTACCGACTTTCAACCACAACGTTGAGGACTGGTTAGATCATGTGGAAGCAATCCTTATCGGCTCACAAGCTACTGACAAGCAAAAGTACGGCGCCCTGCTCTGTTCCTTGCCCATGGAAGTCGCCACGCAAGTATCACGGACTATTTCCAACCCTCCAGAGAACAACAAATTCGCCACCCTGCTGCACGCCTTAAAAATGCATTACCAACGGAACCGCCCCAGTCTCCTGCAGAACCTGTCTTCTATCTCCCTTGGAAACTCAACTCCGGGACTTCTCTGGGAGGAGATGTGTAGGCTGAACTCGCGGCACACAGACAGACTTCCCGACCCTATCCTGCGCCAGCTTCACGCACAAAAGCTCCCCACACAAGTACGTATCATCCTGTCCGCAGTAGATTAATCGACGAAACCTGAACTCTACGCAACCGCGGCAGACAAAATATTCAACGAGTGCGCGGCTGCGTGCCTGGCTGCCACGGACAACCCAATGACCACACCAGTACTTACCTCCGAAGTTGTAAACCAGGTCAACACCCCTCAGCCGAGCAATACCTCACAAGACATCAGGGACCTGTTGCAAACTTTGAACCGCAGGATGGACACCACTGAACAGTTCTGCTCCTCCATGCCTGCTGCTGGACCTGTTCCTAACTCACGCACCACGTCCTACCGACCCCAACACACCAGTCCTGCCTCAGACGTCGCCCCCAGCCCCCAGCACAGTGTATCTACCCCCTGTTGGTACCATCAACGTTTTGGTGCTAACGCTAGATTGTGTGAGGCCCCCTGCAACTACACGGCGAAGTGACATCGACGGAGACGGGTAGGCGCCATAACCTCCGCCACTATCAAGCAGCACATCACACGCCTTACTTCTGACCTTGACCACTTCACTCCTGCTGCCCGTCACGACCTACTACAAACACTACGTCAGGCAGTTTCTGCATTCAAGGCTACTGCCCCACGCCAGCCTTCCCACCGCCCTGAACACATTCATCCCGCACCTCCTCCGCCAGTCTGCCCACAATTACCCCTTGCAGCACCACCTCGCCCACATTTCTGGGCACCCTCTTTTCTTCCTCAGGTACCCACTGCGCCTGTCTTGCACCCTCCTGCTGTCATGGACCCTCCTCCCGACGCGGCCCCTGCTCCTGACGCGGACCCAGACACCCAACCCGGCGCCACTGAGGACTGCGTACCCGCTGCGAGAGAAGCACCACATTCCTCGCCTGTAAAACCTTCTCTTATCCACAAACCTACTCCTCCCTCTACTTCTCCCACAGATCTCGTGACTCTAGACAGAGTCGTCTCCTGTAGCGGCCGGCTCATCCACACCCCCGCCCGCTATGTCTCACATGTGGGATACAACCTTGCCGACAACAAGTCTCCTGCACCGCCTGGAGGGAAGGGGGAGTATTGTAGTGGATTCCTCCCCTACAAACGCCGTGTATCGCTGACTAGCCGACCCTCCGCGAATTCACCAGCCTGCACCTCGTGGGCAAGGTC